TCACACCTGAAGAAGGCTCCACGGCCGAAACGTTGTGTTCTCTTTCTTCTTTTTTTCAGCATGGAATAAACCTATTACTTGTTCCATAAAGTAATGTTGATTGGTAGTTATTGCTGCTGCCTCATAGTCCTTGAGTTCCGGGTTTAATTCCATACTTTCGTGCCTTCTTTGCAGAGTTTGCCTGTTCTTCTTGTGTATACATGGGTTTTTGCCAGATACTCTGGTTTCTTACCATCTCCCAAAGAAATGGTGGTTTAAAAGGTTAATTGGTGTCTCAAAATTGTATGTGTCCTTGAATGAACCAGTGGAAAGCTGTATTTAGCATAAACAAAATGTAAGAAAGCAAACAACATGCATTCAAAAGAATGAATAATGTACATCTTATCAACTCCTATAGTTTCTTCATTCTGTTGTCGAATAATTTTACAATATCTGTTGACACAATGCTTTTGAAAGATTTAAAAATAAATATATATATATATTTCTTATTGTAATAGTAGGTCTGATTCTTTTTTTAAGTAGATCAGGTATGTATCCATATTTAAGTAGAAAACTACTTCAAATTTTCATTTTTGGGGGGATTTAAAAGATAAAATCCCAAATATCTACTAATTACCAAATACAAAATTGTGCTTAAACAAAACTCAAGTTCAAAAGATGACCTTACTTGATACTTGGCTTACTTTCTTTTAAGCTTTGAGAACTCCAGATTCCATGGGAGGAGGTTTTATTTGTTACCAATTGTTTCCAAAAAGGAAAATAATTGGCACTTTGTTTCTAAAGATGAATTTCATGCATGCAGAACATGGTATAAAGAGCCTCTCTGCAGGATTTCAGTCTCTCAAAATCCCTAGTATTTTTCAGTGAAGGATTAAACTTTGTTCCTTTGTTCACATTGTTGGGATTGTAAAACAAAAACACCGAAACTCATCAGAGATCATGCTTTCATATTGTTTTCTATCCTCCCTTCTTTCCATCCACGATCATTCCAAATTCTATGCTGTCTGTTTAAGCTAAGAGTTCTTCAAGCAACTGAAAGTTTAAATACACCATGTGTCTTGCATTTCATCTGGTTTGTGCTGAATACAGATTGTATAATTTCTTATAAGACATGACTTTAATACTCCTTTTCTTACATCAATTCAAAGGCGATAGCATTTTTAAATTGCACTCTCGGGAAATGGTGTTGTCTCTTAACATTTGTAATTTGCCTATGATTAATTATTTCAATTATTAAGTTATCGTGCAACCAAAATAATCCGATTATTGATGGACAATTACAAATAATTTAACTTTCTCTGAATTAAAACCAGGTTGAGACACAACAGACACACAATAAACTATATGTGAAAGTAAGAAGCATACCTTTCATTGAAATTAAAGAAGTTCAGTCAAGAAACTGACTTAAAGAAAACTATGTGGAAATTCTTATTTAGCACAGTCCTAGTTTTTTAGCAAGCTGGAAGAAACAATGTTATTGTTAATTGCTGTGTTTTATGGTCCTCATTCTAGAACTAATAATTGAAAAATCTATTAAGATAACAGCCAGCTCAGCATAACACTTTTTCAGCTCATTAAGTTACTTTCCAAAAATTAAAATGCTTAATAACTTTCCGAGTTCTTGATGTTACTTATGTAAAATATTTTGTCTAACAGATTTGTGTATATTTGACTGTGTTAACAGATATAATCTATTTCTGGAAATAAAGGCCTTCAGTTAAATATCTTTGTGGGATAAGACTGGAATTAAACTTTCCATGCATGAGCAGCAGATGCCAGCAGGAATTTCCCATGACTTTTTGTTTTGTTTAATTTGTGTTGTTTTTGTTTTGCCAATTACATGATAGCGATTCGTATTTGTATGCATATATCTCTGCTCACAGAACTATTAAAGAGAAGTCATTTTATAGTATTTTTTATAATTTAGTTTTAAAGTTGTAATCACTAGTGTCTAGTCTAAAAATGTTAAATGTGTGTGTTAAAGCCTCCAGTGGTGTATGCAGTATTTGTATTGTAATGCATGGACCTCCATCATATTTTCAGTCTGAATTATCCATATACTGTTTACAGTAGGAGCATTCTGGGGTGAATTGCTTTTTTCAATCAGTAAATATTATCAGAAAAGAAAAGAGATAAAAACATCAACCAAAATTCTTATAGTCCCAGAAATGCACTAATTTAGGAGAAGAGACAAGTACTGCATTTAGGAGGAAAAAATGGTATTTAAATGAACTATTAGTACAATAATAATTCACCAGCATATGAGTCATCTTTCTGTAATATGCAAAATTGTGTCAATTACTATTCGTCAATTACTTAAACTGGGTCAAATATTAAATTGTAGAATAATAAAATGGACAGCATGGTGCTGCAGTAGTTAACATTGCTGCCTTGCAACACTGGGCCCCCTCTGGTGCTAACTTCGAGGAGTTTGTACTGTATGTTCTCCCTTTGTTCTCATGGGTTTCCTCTGGGTGTTCTAGTTTCCTCCCACTGTCCAAAGACATACTGTTAGGTGAACTGGCTTCTGGGAAAATTAGACCTGGTGTGAGTGAGTGCATGCCTGTGTCTGTGTGTGTTCTACGATGGACTGGCATCCTATCCAGGATGTATCCTACTTTGCAACTGTTGCTTGCTGGGATAGGCTGTGGCTTCCCCGCAACTCTGTATTGGATAACTCAGTTAGATGATGGGTAGATGGGTGGAATAATAACATGAAAGTAAGTGAGATACTGTACTAAAGAACATAGAATTTGCAATAGTATAGAGGGCATTCGGCCCTCAAGCTCATTTCATAAAACAATACTATCATTGCCAATACTGGAAAAAAGTACTCAAGAACAATTACTTTTGCCATATGGAGTTAATACACTTTTTTTTTTCTAGTCAGGTTTGATCAGGACACAGAATACGGACTATTTCTTGAAGCCTCTACCTCAGCATCTTGCCTTGAATGAAAACTACACTGCCTCTGCCAGCCATCAGCCTCATATCCTTTACAAGAGGTCTGTAGAGACCAACAAGCACGCAGCAGACAATGAAGTCATAATGGTTGATAGACCTCAAGGCCACAGCAGAGAACATCACCATCACCATCTTCATAATGACTACAAGCATGGGAGAAGGCAAAAGCAGCATTACTGTGGAAGGCGCAAGAAATGTATGTAAGGGCCTTCCTCTTATTCCCAAGACGTCTCTTTATTTGCTCGCATTGCTTGTCAGTAGTGTTAATGAATGAACTTAGTTTTATGACACACAGATTCATGCAGATGACAGTAGCCAGGTTTGGTTTGAATTACACATTTTCTCTCATCTTTAATGTATAACGAGCATCAAAATAAACCTATAACAGTAACAAATTTGCAAACTGGTTCAAAAATCATCAGGAAAATTTGAATTGATTGAATGTGGCAGGTAAATTAATCATGCAGATTAACATTTGTCAACAACAAGTCTAATCAACAGGTCTTATAGTCTTAAAGTCACAGACAATTGTTTGATTGCTATTGGAAGCAATACAATGCATATAGTACTGTATATCTGTAACGCATGCTTAGCATCATGTTGCAGATGTCGTCTTGTGGAATTTTGTACCATTCTTTTCCTGAATCCTGGAAAAGCCCATGTCTCTTCATACACCACTTGGTGGTCTCTGGGCCCTAGATACCAAAACATCGCAGATAATCCATGTTCACAAGTGGATCACCAAAGGCAAACTGGTTACATTCCTATCTCGCAATAATTCCAGGAATCCCATTAAGAAGTCCTGGGAAGTCTACCTGAAGTATGGCTCTAACATACAGTACCAGTTGCACAAAGGCATTGGTTCCCTTGATAAGCAGCACATATTGATTAATTTCTATATCTATAGGTTTGACATAACCTGTTTCAAGGTTTGACTCCTCTAAACTGGTTAGGATTTTCTTTAAAACATTTTCAAAAATGACAATAAACAATGAACTCTTGAAGTAGTGCATTAAGTATACAAAATAATTTTGTGCATAGGTGGACGTGATTTCCATTTCCATTCAGTTTTGTTTGTAAATGTAATTTCTTCCAACTGTTCTGTTTTTATTAAAGATGTATTATATATTTTCATTACATTTTAATTTGAAAAAATAATACAAAACTAATAAGTCTGGAATATCATAATGTTTATACCAGGCCAACCCCCACATGTATTGTTATTTGTTTTTTTATTTTATATTCTATAAACTGCTAAACTTTTTACATGCCTCCTCTTGTGTTTTGAGGGATTTGGTCAAGGCATTGTTTTGTCTGGGAAACTAAACCCATTGGGCTAAATTCCAGTTAAACTCTCTTCTTATCATGAAAATCAATGAAGCAGGGTCACAAAAAAGAGCACTCTTTGAAGGGAGGAATTAAGCTAACA